AAATGATTTGATGTAGGTTCATATATTCATAATTAATAGAATATGGGTATGATGAAATATTGAGGATTCTTGTAGTAAACTATTAAATTGTGATGCAAATTTTCAAAAAAAAAAAAAATACACACTTCTTCTAGTGTTCCAATTCTGGAACTTTGGGTCAAATATCCGGGAATCCGGGTCGGTCCCCCCACAAAAAAAAAACCTTTTCCCGGAATGATCCCCATCTTTGGAAAAACATTTCAATAAAATCAGTTGTTGTCCCGTTAGGGCTTAATTTAATGTATAAGTCATTAATTTAAGGTTATTTTTATAATAAAAGGAACAAAAAAGGTACACCACAAAAAACATTTTTAACTCGCCTTCTTCTCAACCGATTTTAATGATGTTTCCTGTTTTGATTTTTTTTTTCTGTTATAAAATTTCCTTTTTAGCAAAAATAAATAATACTACTGTTTTATATTAGCTTTGCAGTGTAGAGCATATAGAAAATAGTTTTTCTGTTTTTTATTCATTTTTTCACACTTAAATCACTGTAATACTCGACCCTTTCAAATAGAAATTAATAATAATAATAATAATAATAATAATAATAATAATAATAATAATAATAATAATAATAATAATAATAATAATAATAATAATAATAATAATAATAATAATAATAATAATAATAATAATAATAATAATATAAATCCGTTGTTAAATCCAAGAAAGCCGATTTGCTCTAATTTACCATAATGAAATAAATTTTCGAAGTGACCCAGAAAATAAAAGGCATATTCGGCATCTGTGGGCTCTCATAAACCAGAATTGGAACATTAGAACAAGTATGTATTTTTGCTGTCGCACAGTGTTATTAGCCATTGGGGAACACGAAGGGTCGATTTGGAGCCAATTCGAATAAACAATATACCATCCCATGGAAAATGCCTAAAATCGGATAGCAGCTATGGTGTTGAAATACATTTGGACACAATTTTTTACACCTACTTCAATTGAAGCTTAAACTATTTCCCCAGAAGAGCTACATCGAAATAGAAATCCATGCTTACCAACAAGAGACGCAGTTAATGGCAAGATTATAATCACCATTCTCGCTTACTTTTTATGCGAAATCAATTCTCCTTAGCCTTGGTATTAATACGAGTTTGTGCCGATATTTTTATTTACATATGTCAGTGCTCTTGTCCTTCAACTAAATAGCAGCGTTTTTTATAGTTAAAACAAGTAAAAAACCTTTAAGTTCGGACGGACCGATCTTTAAATACCCTCCACCATTTGGAATGAATTTGGCAATTTTCAAAAAAAAAAAATTAAATCCGTTAAAATTCCTGTTAAAATCTTAAAAATATCGAATATAGCCCTTATATTAGTGTCTATATATGACGACGTGGATCTGCATAGGCAACTTTGTCATAAGCTATTACAATATTCAAATACGAAACTTGAAAAAAAATTGGTGAATATTGTAGCTAAAATCATTAAAATACCGAATATTGCGAATAACCGTTATATGGGGGCTATACGAAGACGTGGACCTGCACAGACAATTTTCTGTCATAGGCTACAGTATTCATTACGAACTTAAAATAACAAATTTGAAACATTTTCGGTGAATATTGTCGCTCAAATCACCAAAATACCGAAAAAATGGAGGTACCATTATATGGGGATGGGTGGGATGACCCATTTTCAATACCAAAAGTCCTTCAGGCATAATACACATTTGAGTAACATTTTATCAACCTACTTCACTTTGTTTGGAAGTTAGAGTGATTTCCACAGACCGACAGACATTGAATATCTAAAATATATATTTCGAACAAATGGAATGGTGGAGGGTATAATTAGCGCAAAAACTAAAAAAAAAAACAAGTAATATTTTTAGGCATCGGTTCAATCTTCATAGATATGATGGGAAATAACTTCAAATGACTCAACTATTCGATCAAATAAATCTACGTATATATGTGTATGTCCATTTCAGTTAGTATATGTATGTATATCGATCGGGAAATGTTCAATAAATGTTTACAAAAACTAATATTTACCATCAAATGCACAATGGCCAAGTGATGCCCGTCGAAGGGGGGATCCGGTCTGTTTTTTTCTTTGTTTTAAACTTCCGGTTAAGTACTAAATTTAGCTTTTAACATCCACAGCGTTTTTGTGTCAAATTGTTATTGTCTACCCAAAATATACTACGGCTCCCCAACACACAAATGAGGTGAATATGCGTTGCTGTTTTTTTCCTTTTTTTCTCAACTGAAGCTAAAAACTTATCCATCAATAAATTACTGAAGCTTGAAATTGGAAAAACAGAAATAAAGAATGGAGAATGATTTATAGAATTGTAGAATGGTCAATTTGTAAGGGGGAAATATTTTCTAAACAAATGTGTTACGCGAACTGAATTCGTGGTTCGTATAGCGTATGGCGAACCAACGTATATTAAAATTCCATATGGAACATGAATCAATTTCTAATTGGACTATGTCGATCCATTATTTAATTTAAGGTGGAGCACATATGGACACACTGACAGGTAATATTGAGTAAGTAAATAATTGAAATTACATTGTGATGCGATTCCGATAAGAGCATATTTTACATGCCACGGTTCGGAAAATGAAAAGATGTGGTACATTTCCATATCAAGTTTATTCTAAATTTATTTACAACAAATACATGATACAGATATGAGAGACTGGAAAGTTTGACAAAAACATAAACTAAATACATGTAGGTCTGTTAATTATGCTCACATTTATCAGTGAGATTTACGATTTTGTAATCGTTGTATGCGAACTCTATCTTCAGAATAAGTGTGTGGGCAAGGACAACTAAAGAGCTCCTAGGTGTCGGACTATTTCCAAAAATGTCCTTTTACTGCAGTTTATATTTTAATGTTTATTTCCAATGATTTGTATTGTCACTTGGAATTGGTGTGCGTCGCTCACTTCTTCTCACTTGCCTCGTTGACCAATCCAGCAACAGCTTCTGTTATCCCCTTCAATGCTACAGACATGTGTTTTTTGCTCGCTTCAACTCCCTTTGTGGCGTTGAAAATCCTTTAATTTACAATCCAAAACCCATAAAAACGTTGCATTAACAGCGACAACGGACAATGGCCATAAAAACTGTCACAGGGCAACTTCACCGAACCATCAGGCTTCACACGATGTCCGCCATTTGTTTGCGCTCACAAGAAGTGTAAAACCGGCTTGACTTAATCAGCACCATTACCACCAACAACAATGGCAACAACGACAACAACAACGTTCTTATATCCATCCATTTGTATGACACGGTAATACGAAAGGTGTCAAATATAATGTAATTTGTTCACTCCTTTAGCCACTATCAGGGTTATTTCCACACATTTTAAAGCGGCAAGCACTGGTCATTGCCGCCACAATGTAACCGGGGAAAAGTCGTAAACTCGTTGCATAGTCATGTGCAATTGGAATATTTTATCTCCTCTTTAGTCTGTTCGGATGCAACGTTTTAATAGAAATTTTATCGTCATATTTAAGAGACATAAACATTTTACGAGCGTTCGTTAAAAAATAAGGCCATAAAAATATGACAGCAGTCTGGTGATGAGCCAGCCAGATCAAAGAACACAGGTGACACAAATCCTTTTTATTTCTATTTTAAATTTAGAATTTAATGTCCTTATGTATGCAAGCATGTGTTCAAAATAGCTCTGAAGCCAGTAGTGCTAGTTATTTAATTATTGAATAACTATTGGCGCATTTCTTAAGCACAATATAGATCGATAAAATCCACTTGTAGTGGAATTCTCTAACTCATTTTTTTGAGTTATCGACAAAAATCGGAAACTTTGATACCTAAAATTTCATTACAAACCAGTAAGGAAAAGTCAAAAGTCGGGTGGGACCGATTATATGATACCCTACACCACTATGCATATTTAGTAGATCTTACGCAACAAAAAAAAAAAAGAAAATACTTGAAGTAGATCATACCACCTATCACGGGAGCTATGTCCAAATCTGAACCAATCTTGATAAAATTTGGCAGAGGTATTTCCGAGCTCTATAAGATATCTGGTGCCAAATATCATATGTGTCAAATATATATTACGAATGTGAGGGACTTAAACACAAATCGGATGAAATATATATAGGAGCTATTGCTATATCTGAACCAATTCAATTCACCAAATTTGATGGACTTGGTTCTAAACTGAATTCGGTCGGATGTGCCAAAATTCAGTCATTTGGATTGAAATTGGTCATTTGGTGCACAATTAACCCAAAATCGATTGAATATATAATGGGAGCTATATTCAAATCTGAACCGATCTTGAAACAATTTGAGAGAGGTATTTCTAGGCAGCATCTGATACCAAACATAATTCTTTTGAGATGCATATTAGGAATGTGTGGGACTTAAACACCAAATTGGATGAAACCTATGTATGGGAGCTACAGCTATATCTGAACCGATTTTCTTCGAATTCGACTTTTGATTTTGGCCATTTGGTGCACAATTAACTCGAAATTGGTTGAAGATATATGGGAGATATATCTAAATCTGATCCGATTATCACCAATTTCAATAGGGTTCGTCCGTGGGCCAAACATATATTGTTTAGAAATTTTCATCTCACAAAAATACATGGACAGACGGACGGACGAATGGACAGACAAACGGACTGACATGTGTAAATCGATTCAGAAAGTGATTCTATGAAAAAACTCAAGAGTAACTATGGGTCTATGTCGCTTCTTCTCCATGTTACAAACCAATGCAGAAAGACATAATACCCTACCACTATGGGGTGTAGCGTATACAAAGAAGTTAAAGTTGACAACATTGGTATCTATCCGTGGATAATGATAAAAAGCGTCACCTATGCCATAAGGCAACACAACAGAATTGTGCACTACCAATATATATTATATGACTTTGATCATCCTTACCAGTTTTCGACCAAACCATAACCAAAGATATAATTTTTTATTCAAAAATGATAGTGACGGCAAACAGTAGTTGTTGTTATTATTAAACAATTGATGTCTATTAGTTTCTACATAAAATGTTTTCAAAACTATTTTCTACATTAACGATAAAGACACAAAACATAATTTATATTTTGATTTATCTTCAAACATAAATAGCACCATCTACATTAGGTAAAGGAAAAACTATTTAGACCCATTACACGTCGTAGCGAAGACATCAACCATAACGAATTCAACCATCAACGACATCATCCATGCTGTGGTGTGTACATGCCAATGCCAAAAGGTGGCGTTCCATAAGTAGATAAATAAAATATACCGCTTGAGCTACATTAGAAATGATAAACTGTTATACTTAGGTTATGTTGTTCTACTCATTCGTGTTGGGATAGGAACACGTATGTATCCTGTTGTTGCGATACATGGCTCTAATTTGCCCAACCGTCTAAAAGAATGCATACACTTACCTCTTGGAAACATATTCGCCCATATAAACCACACTATCCCCGATCTCATCTACGGATACCCCGGGTGTTGGGCCCATACATTTTGAGGACATATGCATTTTTATGGCTTTTAGTGTACAAGGCATAGATGGAAAATTGTTCGGCAAACCAATGGACTCTGCATAAAGGAGGACAGCACGATTATGACTACAACTGTCTAGGAAAGGAACTTTTTATTCAAGTGTCCATCGCGGCATGACTTAACTTACAAGCGTCCACAATCAACTTACTGGCAGTTACAATGTCCACGCCCTCACAACCTCGCTGTGGTGTATGGCCAAAGTTGGGATAGAAGTCAACAGTTCCCCGAGGTGTTATATCACCAAACACAGGATAATCGGTGTGAATGACGTCAACGAAGACGGCTGCACTCGGGTGCAAACTATCCGGCGAATTGGGCAAAAACAGTGGCAATGCCGGGTCTAGACCAGTAACACGACCCAATAAACCATTAAAATATCGTCCTATATTTCCGGCGATATGAGCCCCCAGACTGTGGCCAATCACATGGACTTCGGACAACATTATCTGGTGTTTTCTATGAAGTAATTAACGATAAGCTAACTTATTTTTGTACAACCAATATTTGATGTGGGTAAACCTACTCAAAGAACATTTCCAATAGTTGTCCTAGGTGTTTACCAACATCGCCCACAGCTTTTCGTGAAGTGTAGTAATCCAACTTCGCAGCATCTCTCCAATCCACAAGGAAAACGTTGTCAACTCCCTGGGCCATGTAAGCTGAAATTATTTCGCGGCGAAAAAAGTTATGGCGTGTTCGCCTTGCCTTTTTTTGCATTTCTCATTGCAACTCTTCTTACCTTGGCCAAGTGGTCGTATTGAGGTATGAAAGCGGTTACCTGTAAATCCGTGGATTATTACTTTAATGTCTGTCTTCACTTTTAAGTCCTCTATCATATCCAAGGGAAACTCCAACCGGGTACCATTTTGAAGACTAGCAAACGAAAAAGATTATATTATTTCTTATCTTACATATCAGCTGTCTTGCTTACGGTTGTTGGTAATATATATTTGCCTTCTGTATTAGAGAATTTAGATTCATTAATTCGACCCTTTTAAGGACAAAGGCTAGGAAAACCCAAATAAACTTTAAATTCTGTTGCGACATCTTCTCACAACTGTTGATATTGCCACAGACGACTTTATTCACGAACTGAACGGATAAAATTGGACTCATTTCAAAATCAAGACTATTTTGCATGTTTCGAATCAGTTGCGTGCTAGTTTTGGGAAAATTTTCCCGCTTCAAATTGGTTAGTGACGTCAGACGATAAAATTCCATTTTCCGGTTAACTTAGACGTTTTCGTCGATTACACACTTTGCCAATTGAAGCTGGTTCCAGCTTGTGTAAATTACCTTAAGTAGTATCAAAATTAACAATGGACTATTCATTCGTAGGAGAAGTAATGTGAAACATCTTGTTTCATTGAATTTTAGTAAGCTGTTTTCTTTAAATCAGAGCTAGTACTGCTTTCTAAAACTCGTTGCTTTATAAATCCAAAGAGTTTTGCAAGTTTTTTTTTTTTTTTTTTTTTTTGCTGCAACACACATTTAAATTGAAGGCAATTTAGTGTTTACTTTTAGTTTTAAATGTGACAAGGTCATTTGCTATATAAAGATCAGGGGTAAAAAGAGGTCGCAGTCTCCTCTCCATCGCATCGCTTTCGAAAATGTTTTCCTTGTTTCCTGAAGTCTACTAATTTTGATTTCACGCTATCAAAGAATTCGCCTTTTTCATTTTTGATCATTATTCCCTTTTTCTAATTTGACTCACTCATTTTCTTCTGTAGCTACTCTTAAGTGACATTAAATGTGTACACACACACACATATATGTATTTACAAACGTACATAATCAAATTTATTCGAATTTACACATAAATTACAAATGCAGCATGTCCATGGCTAGTTGCGGCACACCTGCCCACAATTCAATCATTCAAAGCGCACAATAACGAACACACAAGGGAAACAAAACATCAACGAATCCTTAAAAACGAAAAGACTCAACGTCTCTCCGAGTCGGCAATGACGGGGCGAATCATCATTTTGACAGCCCTCAAAGAGTAATTTCCTCCCAACCATTCGTGCCAATAAATTCCTCGGTACTGCTCGATTTTGTCGTAATTGGTGGCATGGTAGGGTCCCATTAAGTTCCTGAAAAAAGAAAACAAAAAATATTGGTCAACGAAATATTGTCAACGAACAAGTCTCATTCGAACTTACGATTTATCACACCAGTTGTACCACCAGGCACCCTTGTGCGACTGGGCACAGTTGCAGTCCACACATCCATCGTTGTCATTGTCGAAAGTGGAGAATTTACTGCCGGCATGGTAGCTCAAGGAGTCTCCAGCATCGCCCTCGTATTTACCCAACAATTTCAATTCGTACGATTCCATTTCATTGCCAATGGCAAAGAGGTTGTAGCGGGCGTATCTACGGTGATTTTGAAAGTCTTCCAGTGTAATTAAAAGTTCATGGATCGCCGAGGCCGTCAGGGCGTACAACTTTTCCATACCAATAAAGAATTCCCCAGCCAAGTTGCCGAAGCCGTGCTTGTATTCCAACCAGCCTCGTTGGAAGTTGATGTCGCCGTTGAAACGATTCAAAATGACAGTCCAACCGCCACCGGCCAATTGATCTTCACAGGCAACGTAGAAGGGATCCGATGTTGGTGTCAACTGAAGCTTCAAAATGCCATTAATGGGGGCAATGCCTTGAGCACAGCTTGTGGTGAGGGGTTGTTGGGAATTGGCAGTGGCGTAAAAATTGGGCACGCTTACGATTGCACCCTGATTTTGTTGTCGTCGTACCAGGTTGTTGACACGTCTTTGTAAGTTCCTGTGTAAAGGAAAGTAGTTGTTTAGAATTTAGCAATGGAATCTTGAAAGCACGCATTTTTTCGATATAATAAAGGAAAAATCGGTTATCGCTGTAAAAAGTTTTACATTCTTGAAGTTCTGAAACAGAGTAAGAGTAAGGAGGTCAATCCTGCCATACTAAAGTATGTGTTATAACCCTTATAAAAGGTAAGTACAATTAACTAATAATTTGTAAAAATTATGACAAAATGTTATTTGATAACCAAAAAAAAAAAAAAAAAACAGTTTGAGAACCAGTTTGACAGTTGTTACTGAGATTTGGCAAATTCTTATCGGGAAAATACACTACCATTTAATGACCAATGTTAAATGTTCAAGTAATTGGGGCAGTAATTTAAATATTTCTCAGATAATACGCATTCAACATTGTAAGATACCACCGAACAACTTATTTTTCAACAATTTCTATTTTCTTAATCATTCGTAGACGATCTTGATGGATAAATAAAAAATAGAGAAAATCCTCTCAAACATTTTTACTAAAAAATTTATCGTGCAAACCATGGTAGAAGAATACAGGTAGTCGCTTTGACACAACTTCTGGACAATGAACTTTTGGAATTGAAATTTTTGAATGAAAAACTTTTCAAATTAAAAAAATGTAAATTATAACAATCTCCAATTGGCGTTGTATAGGAAAATATATAAAAATCTACTTATTTTTGAAATATCAAATTTTTGAAATATCAATGTTCCCAAGCGTTGATGCATTTACCTGTCTTTTTCTACCATGGTACAAACTTAACGTCATAATCACATTTATAGGTGTGGTAAGAGCGAAAAAAGGTCGAGCTAATGAATTAACATTCAGTGGTTCAGTGGATAGTGTAGCAGACTACGAAACGAAGGATTCTGAGTTCAAGGCTCGGTAATGGCAAAACACATTTTTGTTTTAGTATTCTTTAATACTTTTAGAAAAATAGATTTGTCCTCATTTGTTGGTTAATGGTGTGGTGTTACAAAAAAAAATGATAATAAGTCATAAATAATGAATGTGCCCTTGAAGGCGTCTCATTCGAATGTGTGCTGCAAACATATTTGCCATTCCATCGCATTGTTTTAAATTCTTATTCGTATAATTTATAAAATGATGTGGAGGTGTCAACGTACGCTGAAAAAAACGTAATTGTGCGAGAGTATAACCGATGCGACCATAATTGACAGCTAATAGATCGTCTATAATAATATAAATTAATGCGCTATCGATAATTTGAAGCTTGAATAGATCATTCTACGACTCGGATACCTCTGCAAGTACTCGTCACGTTTCATGCTTACCCAGTTTGCTGCATCAGTCTGGTGACATTCGCTTGTAATTGCGAATGCAAAGCATTTATGGCCCCCCTTGTCGATGTCAATAATGTGGCCAAGGCATCCAATTTTTGTGAATCACTGATCGGCATTGGTGACGCCGATTGCTGCTGTTGTTGTTGTTGCGAATTATATACGGCCTGGCGTTTAGTTTTGCGTAAAATATTCATTTCAACTATTAAATACAACAAAAAAATGTATAATTTTTTATTGAAGTAATGGCTCAAAAAGAATTCCAATTTCAATTAATGGTTAATTAATTTTAATTGTGATACATTTTTGGGTAAGACTTTTTGAAATTATAAATGTACAAAATTGTCAGATGTAATTTAATCATAAGAAAATAGTTGTGCTTTGGCTTCGTATTTGGAAATACAAATATAATTTAATTTATAATTTAATAATAGAAATATTTGAATATCAAATGTATTTTTTTTTAAATAGTACAATATCGAATTACTAGTGAAATGTTACGAATTACATCTGAAAAACTTGAAGTAGACCCAAAAAACATTCACAATAAATAACTAGGAACATTTGAAGTTACATTTGTGTCACAAATTTCCAAAACTATGCATTAAATGTGTTAATTTTGAATGAAGTACTACTTGTTATCCGACACCATGTTATTTACCATCGGCAATGCCTGAGGGATGAGTTCTATTATCGGGAATGTGTGAGAGATTTAGTGTTCTCATGTATTCTCCGAATTCACCTATGAGTTCATCAACACCGCGGCGTGTCAGACGTTGTATGTGCTCCATAACGTCCAAGTGCTTGTCGAAGTCCATTTGAGCCACTGCCATTGAGTCCATTCGGGCCAAATTGCTTTCCTCAAATTGGACAATTCTGAAAAAGAAACGAACGAAATTAGATGTTTTTTTTATTTTTGGTTATTATTATTTTTTTAAGTAAATTGTTGGATTTCGGACAATCATAATCCCATACCTAAATGGCCACCTAAAAAAAGTGTGGTATTTTTTATAACTTGCAAATTTATTATAAATTCTTAGTTATAGTACCACACTTCACACCCTTTATATATTTGCGAATAAAATTGTTTTTCTTTGGTTATGCAGCTCATCATTTTAAGTTAAAACATTTTTCCAGGTCATAATTAAAATCGGTTATAAATCTGCCCACCAGATCACAATTATTATACTCAAAAAAAAAGATAAGTTAAAATTCCGACTCTCAAAGTACTCAAGATTCTTCCTAAGTTAGATACATATTTACACATATGGAACTGTGGTCTTAGAATACCTCTAATAATTGTTAATTAGCATTTCGCTATATTTGCTTGTTTACTTTTATTTACGGACTATTATTACTCTAAAAAAACAAACTTACTTCAAGAGAGAACATCTGCGATATCAGATAATCAGAAATAATTACATCTAATTGTAATTGCAACTGTAAGTTGTTGAGTTCTTTTAGTTGTCGGCAAATATGCATTACACTATGGATATTCCTCTACTTAGTTTCAGGTTTAATTTCGTTTGGAGAAAGAAGGCAGAAAAACTGAAAATATGTTTTGAAATTAATAATAATTGTATATAAAACATTAGGATATCATGTACACAAAATCGGCTGGATCATATTCTCAAAAGTCAGATGTACAGGGTGAGATGAAAAAACTATAACCATCTTTAAACTTCTGTCATTTCTAAGCCACTCGCCCGACAGCCGTTAAAATTATTCCAGTGACAGCTCATTATATTGTTTACAAGCGTACAAATGCATTTTGATGATTTCTTTATAGTTGTCCTGAAAACCACAAGTGGCTATCGTTAGAGCATTTCAGCATATGAATGTGAATAAAACTTTTGTGTCTCCATTCATCGCTCGTTACCGTGTTACTGGTAACGTAGCCCGACGTCAAGGAAGTGGAAGGAAGAAACCAGCAACATCAGCAGAAATGGTTCGAAAAGTAAAGAAGCGACTTGATCGAAACACGCGTCGCAGGGGCCGAAAAATGGCTCGTGATACGTGAGAACGTATCGCAATATTCCATTCCGCAATAATTGAAAAATGAGCTCGGGGTAAAGCCATTGAAATTAAAAAGTTGATTCGTTTGGCCGAAAGTGGTGAACTGCCTAATTTGGTTTTCTTCGATGAGAAAACATTCGTTATCCAGCAGTTTGTAAAGAAACAAAATGATCCTATTTACTTGCCAAAGAGGTCAGATGAAAAGGACTCAACAGGACTCAACACCATCGCACTCAGCACGCGCCACTCATGATTGGTTACAAAATGTGGCTTCATTTAACATTACTTACATGAAATCTGTATGTATGCCAGTAGAGCACATCTTTGTATTCAGAAAAATAACAATGTTAATTAAAGAATAGGGCTAAAATCGTGTTTTTTATTTTGACTTTATTATTACTCCTCCAAGATGAGCGTAATTAACTGAAATTTGGTACTGCACATCAACTATTATACAACGGGCTTCGCTATTAGTTACGCAGCTCATCATGCGTATTTGGTGTTGATGGCCTTACATAGATAATTAACAATACTAACTGTAAGTACGTATTTCCAAATTACTTCATAGCCTAATTTGGCCCTTTCTCACGATTAATTTTTTATAAATAAGTATGATCATACTGCCAAAAATCATTAAATTTTTAGCTATGGACTTTTTCTACCTACAATGGTTTTCAAAATATAAACATGTTTTGTTTATCTTTAGCAAGTCAAGTCAAGTCCCAGACGAGTAAGCTCGTTTTTAAAGAGAGGTACTCAAAAGTCCTACTATCCCCAATATTGCAAGCTTTTGAAGATTTCCTAATTTCCGGGGTACATGTGCGTGGATTTGAACGACCTATTTTGTTTTAGGCAACACATATTTTTAACGGAACACCTCCAACAGTAAAAATTAAAATTACAAAATCTAGAGAAATCTCGGCAAAAACCTAAAACATTTCTTAGGCAAACGCAATACTTAAAATCAACACCGAAACTAATTACGGAGACGCCTCACAACGCTACGAAGCTATGCGAATGCCAAACATTGATGGCATTATCTGTGACGAGTCTTTACTGTGCAAACAAGTCGGCTAAATTCCAGTTTGCCCATCATCACTCGATAATAAAGGTCGAAGTTGAGCTTTAGCAACATTCACATTCACGTAGCTACGACGCCAATTGAAAAAATGCAGTGAATCCCCCATAAAAACATTTGTTTCTTTTTATTTTTTGGCAAAATGTCATTTAAGATGATGTTATAGAAATGTGATGGGCTAATAATGCGAGCGAATGACTTGCAGATTCAATGCAGTTCGTAATGCAATCACAAAACACTTATTTTCTTTTGAATGATAAAAAAAACCTAAAGTTTTTTTGTATCTCTCAAATAGGTCAGTGTTTTAGTTTAAAATGATGTTTAAATCAAAAAAGTGTGTTAGTAAATGACACTTTTTTACAAATTCATATTGTTATTAAAGAAAACACAATGCCAAAAGAAAAATTCAATGGTCCCTAGTATGTATTCACGAAGTCAAACCTAAGAATAGTCATATCTAGTATATCTCCAAGGAAATGTGCGGGAATTTAAACAAGAGGTCATGGTACACAAAAAAGATTGCTGAGCTAAATGATAAATTTTTATTGTCTTCATCATTGGTATGTTCGTAATTTTAAAAAACTGCTTTAGAAATAAAAACCAAAATGTTCAAATTACAACTGTGTAAGGCCTATACATCAATAAAGTTTCGAAATATTCAAGCCCATCCCAGCAATTAGGTAACTAAAAACCTAAATCATATATGTATAATTTGGGGGTTTTATTCGAAATTGTGCCACGTTGTGTGAAAAAAATCAGAAAATATTTAACTAAGAAACTTAGAAAACAGAATAAAGTTGTTTTATAACGTGTGTTCTACTGAACCAATTGTTTCATATTTTTGGAAATTATTTAAAAGATGTATGTATAACGATGAGTACATTCCCGTTCTACTCGAAAACTTACTTTCAGAGTTATCGAGAAAAGGCATGGCAAGACATGGATAATGTCAAGAAATAAATATATATTCTAAACGGATGAGGAAGAGACACTTATTAGTCATATCTTCATTTTTGTTGATTTTATGTTGGTATTAATATTGAGAAGAAAGCCAGTGACTAGTTACTCATTTTATGAGAGTTCTGATTTTGGGCCGATGGACGCATTTGATTTTAGATTGAATTTAATAGTAACCTCCGATAGCTATATATGACTTTTTAAGATTTTGACCGTCTGTGGAACAGAAATTAGAAACAGTTGGCCAATGTATGACGCTTTCATACCAGATTTAAAATTCGCCCCATTTATGTGAGGAAGGCACTTAAAGAAGTTGTCCAATATTATCCATATTTCGAAAGGTATTTTCTTATAGCAAATGTATTTTTTTTTCAACTTTGACTATTGTGGTGTACTATTACGATATGCAAAGCTTTAGAGCGTAGCAACCACTTCTTTAGGTACCTTCCTCATAAAACAATTATTTGAATTTACATTTACAGCCTTGAGGCAGTATTCTTTAAAATTGTCCAATTATGCTGCTTTTTTAGAAGGAAAATTATAATAGGTCTAGGACGATTACTAATGACACCCAACTAGATTGTGTCATTTAATGGCAATATACCTAATATTTGCTTACAACGTTTAAAAATAATCGAAATGTGTAAAAAATATACCTGATATCTCATATATTTACATGGATTTTTTTAAAAGTTAAATTTTCTTGGAATAAGAACGACAACAAAAACTCACTTCTTTTCAATGGTATCCAGACGTTGACGCAAATCTTCATCGACGGAAATCATTAGACTGACACGATCGTGGAGGTTGGTCAGTAGTTCCTTGTAGTCACAGTGCAATGAAGGTGAGGTGCCAGCAGATGAGTGATTCTGCAAAATAACATTCGGAAATTTACATAAATTTATATGTTTGTCAAGCGTAACTTTTGTTGTTGTTTTTGTTTTCGTTGTGGGTTAAACAAAATTCACCAGAAAGAGGTGAACTTATTCTTATCAACAAAGCTGTGAGACAGGTACCGGTTTCAATGTTAATGTTTGCTTGTTTTTGTTTTTCAAGATCACATCACCGCAACGTCTTCGTCTATGTTGTTTCAAATTCTTCCATGGCGTTGTATTAGCGTGTGTAGCGAACTCATTGTTGGAATCTTTTTTTTTTTAGGAACTCCGACTTAAATGCTGGTTGTCAAATAAGCAAACTAACCGGCTTCTCGTATCACGTCGCAGAGAACACATACTCGTACGTCCATACCTCGGTATCTTGTGTGTGGGCCAATCAGTCAGATTATTTGTTATGACTGCTTCAAGTTATGGGTACTACATCATCTGTTAACGTGACGTGATATTTGTTTCAGAATTGTGCGTTGTAAAATAAATTCACAAATAATTTATTAGCGCTTGGCAAATCATTGAACTTTATGCACATTTTTGTAATTTGTTTTAATTCATAACAACAATGATTTTGCAAATATTATGAATGTTCTTCATTCAAGTGCTAATATTTTTGATGGCCGCAATGGGAGGGCCTTTTTCATACCAAATGTGATAATCAAAAATGAAGAGTACATATATTCGTCATCTTACTCTGGCCATGCTTATGACACATTTTTTTTAATTTTTTGAATTCGATAAAAAATATATGTTTTGTTGTTGGCGCCGCAAAAAAAAAGATATACTTTTCGCCTTTCTTGAAATATTCAAATCAACCTATCAAAAAGTCACACAATATGGAGGGCTTCCATCATACGGCGATATTTACAAAGTCTGCAATGTTTTCAAATTAGTTTTTTGGTATCAATTTTAATTTGAATACTTATTACGTCCTATGTTCCACAGCTTTCAAAACAATTTCTTTCATCTGAATTAACACAGTTTCGAAATAATGTGTGCTGTGTGATCATTTCTAGCATCTTCAAACCCACCACTTTCCACCGCTGCACACTGTTACGCGATACAGGTCGCTGCTGCCAGCTTGTCTGGTTCTGTTGTAATGGCACTGGCGCTGAGGTAGGTCGTACATCTTCCGTACGACAGTTGATTACACCGAACAATAAAATAACAAATATCACCCCGCAGAGGTGTTTGCGATTAACAAATAATCCCATTACTGATAACTTTTTGTTGGTATTTTTTTTTCGAAACCGAACTATTCACTTGAAATTTTTTATTTATTGAATTCTTCTATTTGACTTGCAATGATTCATAAAATTTGTATTTTTTATTTATTTATTATAACAATGACAACGACGAGCGCCGCGAACACAATAATACCCGCCCGAACTGACTATATTCGATTGCCACCAAATGAATGAACCGCACCGTCCGACGTCTACGTTACGACTAAACTTGTTGATCATTCCGTTGTCAGTTTGAGATTTCTTTCGCAGAAATCTACGGCGCAAAGAAAACGACAACACAAAAATATTTGCACCAAAGACCGAAACCGAAGCAAACGTCGGCCTGTCTTTCCATCGAGTATTTGCAGCGGCTGCTAAAATATCTCTTCTCTCGGATGTGGACACGTTCATTTGTTTGGTTTGACGACTGAGAGTCTTTAAGATTTCTATTGATCTGAAGCGCTTTAACATTATCTCATGTTGAACTTTTATCACTGAACCTCTTATATTAGAAAATATTAAAAATTCTATCCTCTGGATATACAAATAGTGGCTTTAATATACTCAAATTGGGGAAATTCTACAATGGATTAATTATGGTATTTATTTAATTAAGATGACATTCATCAAAAGATTCAGTGTCATGCGGATCAAACAACTTACGGACTCCACATATGAAACATTGCAAAAACTAACATACACATATTTAATTTTTATTTTGAAACAAATAATATCTCTTGGAATTTCCATTTTGATTACAGAATTCGTTTCTCTTTAAACGGAGAACAAAGATTTTTAATCGCATTGATTAAAAATTCCAGTCAATATTTTTCAATTAATTGCAATGAGTTATTTTTAGTTGTTACTGCATTGACGGCGCCGTTAGTACGAACCGATAAATTTAATTTTTTAAATAAAAAATCCAATAAATTTTAAAATACATGGAACTACTGTCACATCGAAAAGGGTTGGTTGGGGACAGACATGACAATTTCTTACGAATTTTTGGATACAAATATGAATGCAGTAAAGGAAAACATTCAACACACGTTTTTGCGAATATTCAACGCTTTCAGTTTGGAATGAATCGAAACGTTACATTTCGCTCAAAAAATCATTGTTGGTAGTCAAACTTAGTTAAAGTTGCCTTGGCTCACCCTAACCGCCGATTTGTATTGGTGGTGATCCTGCTTTGAAACCTCGACACATTGACATATCAGAATGTGGAAAATGTTGTGACAGACAGACGTTGACTGTTTTAAAGCTCGTTAGTGTTAGACTTTACTAACTGAATACATTAAACCCTTAATGTAAATGAGACTAAGTAAATTTTAGTCTGCCAATTATTCCCTCCCCCACTATAGAAGGTCCTGAGCCCACTTGCACAGCCAACGACCTGATGTTAATGACATGGATGCATACATACATACATATTTATGAGCAATTTATATATATTTTTACAAGTATGACACACTTTAATTGAATGCATTTGACAAACACGATTGCGAATTTATTATTGGCACTCTCAAACTTCAAAGCAAGATGTAAAACCATTACGATGAGGTGTTGCATTGATGTGAATGGCTTTTTTATTTTATTTATTTGGAATTGTTTACAATAAAGTATTCGAAAAGTATTAGATCAATTCTGTGTTATGTCAGTACCTACATATGTCTGTTACTCAAAACAGGCCAAACAGATGCCAGAGCCATAAAATGTTTGACGTTAACATTTTAATATGAACACGTCCTAATTTAAATGTTTTAACAACGTATATACAAATAGATGAAAAAGTAACTATATGCGGCACTGAGTTCGGCCGTATCGAACTTTTTTTATCCCCAACAGATGAAAATTAAGAAAAATTAAAAAAAATCACTAAATACCTTAAATCAGGGGTTGCCCTTTTATAGACGAAGTGACAAGGCCTATGCTAATTTCGATGTTCGGTTTCCACTTTTAAAGTTCAAATTTTAAATTATAGCGGATTTGGCTAAAAATGTCACCACGAATATAGGACTTCCAATAATTGGAAGTGTTATGTTAAAGCATTGTGGAAGTGGTACTCTACCCATTAAGTTTGGCAAATAAACTGTCATTGTGGCTAAACAAATTGAAGTCCTTGGAAACAAAAAATCGAATCGAATAGATAGAAATATTGAGATGGACCAAGTCTGAATGGAATCGGAAGTTAACTTAACATTTTATGATCTTCATGGATATTCAAAAATTTGACCCTTTGTGGGGGAGGTGCCAGAAGGAATGGAACAATATATTCCGTCTTCTCAGCACATTTTGTGTTGGCAAAAATGTTTGCATGTGTGAAATATGAAAAGAATAGGATGCTTATTTCGGATTTTATAATCGTTTTGGTTATTCAAAACATTGACTCTTTGTGGGGGAGCCCAGAAGGGGTGGACCGATATATTCCGTCTTCACAGCAGATCTTGTGTCAATAGAAATAATGGGATGTGTGAAATATGAAGAAAAGTGGATGCTTATTTTGTATTTATCGTTTTGGTTATTCAAAACATTGACCCTTTGTGGGGCAGGTGCCAGAAGGAATGGTCCGATCTCTATCATCTTTATATTAAATCTTGTGTTATTAGAAATATTGAGATGGGAGAAGTCCGAATAGGATCGGATGTTAATTTCGCGTTTTATAAGCTACATGGATATTAAACATTTTAAACATTTGTGCAGTAAAATATTTTCGTTGGAAATTTCGACCTTCTGTGGGGAGGTACTAGAAGGAGTGGACCGATTTTGCCCATCACCGAACTTGATCTAAGTTTGACAATAACATTACGATGTACCAAGTTTGGACCAAATCAGATACACCCTTCGAGAGTTATCGTGCGCACCAGCCAGACAGACGGACGGACATCACTAGATCGACTCCAAATGTCGTGAAACGGATTTGGTCCAATGAAACCTGGGGTCTAAAACCGCTATTTCGTGGAGGCACGTTTTGGCCATATCTCTAGCCATATGGCCGAGTTTTATTTGATAGTTTTAAAGTCCGAGTTCCCACCAATGGTTAAAACACCCATCGCCTTCAAAAATGTAAAGGAACGGTAGAAGTTAAACTAGTGTAACTTAATGAAAATTACTGTGTTACAAACCCTTGCAACTGATTAACTGTCTAATCCTCTACAAGTAGGGGGCGAACGCTGCAATTATTGGAAAAAGAATAATCTTGAAATTCAATGGAAACATTATTGACGTATTACACAGGCAATACACAGATTAAATCTTTCGGAAAATATTTAAATATTGAATGGCTAGCTGATATATACCTACACGGAACATATATAAATCATGAAAATGATGTTTGTGTTCAATTGTTTCTTTTTTTTTTTTTTGAGTGGAGAAACATCTGTGTTTCATTAAAGAAGATAAGGAGAATTCGCCCATTCGTTAATATTTTCAACTAAGCCACAGATGTGCCGTTCATTCAGCAATTGATTTAATCATTCATTTTGTTTACATAATTTAAATTATTATTTGTTTTTTTTTTCTCTTTGGCGGACATACATACGTTCATGTCTGTCTGTGAGTATGTTTACATAGCGAAATTGATGGGGTGTTAATTTACTTCAACACAATTCACCTTTGAAAAATGTATGGTTTGTGCGAAATACATTATTTTGGCCAAAGGAAATTTATGGTCATTGGCAATAAAGAACACTTTATTATTACGCCTGAACATCTTTGTGGAGCATACATGTGTGGTATAATTTAAACAAAAGGGAATAGTGGTTGAATATAAAAAATGTGTGTTTGAACGAACGAATTCTGGTCTAGTTGTGAATTTACAATTTGCCTTCTTTAAGTGTGCTAAATTAGATTCCGCCCAGCATGAAGTGGTATTGAAGGTTGAAGAAATGTCCATTTGGTATTTTTTCTAGGTCACTAATATGATTTCTTCAATAGTTTTATGATTGCAATATGATAATAGAATGATATATGTTATGACGTAGACATCTGATAAAAAAAAAACAAATACAATTATTGCACCTTGCAACCTCCAACACATTTTTTTGGGTACCCGTTTTCGTCAAAAAGGAGAGACAAATATTTGAAATATTTTTAAATTTAAAAGAAAGATGTAAACAAAGCCATTCTCTCATCTACAACTTTGAAGCTAGAAAGCGCCTGCTTCAGAATCATTTTTTTTATTTTAATTTATTTAACCCGTCCTATGTAGGATTGGCAGTATGAAATAATTGATGTTAAATATTTCAAATCTGATACACATCGCAAACAATGTTTTAAAATTAAAAACGATAATCGACAATTAATGATCATCATCTGTCTGACGGGCAGTCGTCATTTAAATCACAAAATAACAGCAAAACACACTTGTTTAGGTTTCGCGGTCATTTTCTGATTTTATCTCGTACTGTACACAATGTTGTTTGAAACTGTTAAAGTAGTCCAATGCGACTCAACAGACAAGGCAAAAAAGCTCAATGTTACTCCCAATACCCAAGAGTCGTAACGTAAAGCTTTTGTAAAAATAGTACAAAATTGTATTCTGATGATTTGTCCTCGCATGACTGTGATATTGACATTATTTTATTAACAATTAATGGACGGATTTAAAATCCGACTTTAAATTTGTGGATTTTTGATGTTTTGAGTTTTTATACCCTTCACCATAGTATGGAAAGTATATTAAGTTTGTCATTCCCTTTGCAACTTAGACCCCACAAAGTATATATATTCTTGATCAGCATAAAATTCTATGTCGATTTAACGATGTCTGTCCGTCTGTGGAAATCACACTAGGTTCCGAACGAATTGAAGTAAATTGATAAAATTTCACTCAAATGTATATTATGTCTGCAGAAGTTTTGGCATTGAAAATGGGCCATGTAGGTTCACGTTTTGGTATAACACCCATATAACGGTACTTCCCAATATTCGGTATTTTGACGATTTTAGCGACATTATTCAACGGAATTGTTTCGAATTTGGTATTTAAAGTTCGTAATGGATACTACAACCATTCGTAATGGATACTAAGACAGAAAATTGTATGTGCAGGCCCACGTCTTCATATAGCCCCCATATAACGGTACCTCCCGATATTCGGTATTTTGATGACTTTAGCTACATTATTCACCGATTTTTTTCTAAGTTTCGCATTTGAATATTGTAATGGCTTATGATCAAAGTTACCTATGCAGGTCCATGTCGTCGTATGGACCTTAATATAAAAGCTACATT